CTCTCCTAATAGGGTGGGAGGACATTGTCAATGACTAATAAATGGAAAACATGTGGTAGTAATAGGTGCTATGATGTAAAATAAAGCATGATTAGTGGATAATGATGGGTATGTACTATTTATAGAAGGATGGTGAGGAAAGGTGTCTTTAGTAAGATGCTTTTGAGCATGATCCCGAGGAAGTGAGTGGGCATTATCTAGAGGAAATAGCATGAATCACAGCAAATAGCAAGTGCAATAGCTTTAGAGCAGGATGGGGGAAAACCAATGACAGGAGATGGAGGGAGTTAGGAGTAGAGTAGTATAGCGTTTAGACCATTAGAAGGATTTGAAATTGTATTTGCAGAAATAATGGAAGCCACATGGGAATTTGGGGCACATATGTGATGTTTCCTTATTCAACATGTATTTGTTGACCACCTGCTGTGCTAGGGACTATTTTAGGTGCTATGTTATTCTTCCCATCTTAGAGATTACTTCTTATACTTTTTTTTTGCAGTTTTTGGCTGGGACTGGGTTGAACCCACCACTTCTGGCATGAGGCCAGCGCCCTACTCCTTTGAGTCACAGACGCCACTCTACTTCTTATGCTTTTCATGATTGCCCTTAAGTTTTAAAAGGATTGTTCTGTCTGCTTTATTAGAGAAAGGATAGAATCTCTTAAGGATATTGCAGTAGTCTTGGTGAGAAAGGATTGTGTTGTTTACTAGAGAAGTAGAAGTAGAAATGTTGACAAGTTTCCAAATTCTGGACCACGTAATTGATTTAAGTAAATGAATGAATGTTTGTAAAGGGTTTAGAATGGTGCCTGGCACACAGTAATGTTATTTAAGAGTTTTTCAAAGAAATAAAAATGAAGATTAACCCAGTGAGATATTGTGAAAGATTGCATATGGATTGTAAGGGGGAAAAAAAGGAGAGAAATTAAATATGATTTCAAGATTTTTTTTGTCTGAGCAACTACAAGATTAGTAGAAGAAAATCAAGATTTTGATATTAGATTTTTTAAGTTAGAGATTCCTTTGAAATATCTATATAAATATGTTAATAAGCAATTAAATAAGTAAATTTGGTGATCAGCCATGGTAAGGTTGACAGTGTTAACTGAGGAGTTATGTACAGATAGTTTTTAAGATAATTTATGATTAATTAGAGGTTGAAAAAGTTGCAAGAAGAATTCTGATCTCCAGGGAAATTGTTCCTTTAGAGGTCAGTGCAGTGAAGAGGAGCCGACAGGATAGGTTGAAAGGAATAGAGTAGAAAGAGAACCAAGTAAGAACCCAAATAAAATACTTCAAAAAGGAAGGAGGTAGATTTGTCCTTATAATGATAGCAGCTTTTCGAATCTTTAGAGATTTTAAAAATTATAGTAACTCAGCTAAAGGAAAACTCCATATATATCATCTTAAATGGAAAAATAGACGGCAATTGTTTATATAAATTCTAGTGCACAAGCTGGTAGTACAGCAGCAAGAAGTGCATGTTTATCACAGCTCTGGTGGCATCAGTGGAGGAGAATATGAAGAGGACTTACTATGGCCTTCGAGAACATAAGGGCCCACACATTGCCCCCAAAAAGGAACAGTTCACAGTCAGAAGAGAGAGGAGACTGAACTAATACATGTGTAAATGAAGTCCCTGAAGAGAAAAAGCAAAGCAAAACAGAATGTACGTAAAAAATATAATTCAACAAACTCTAAGGGGATAAAAGAAGGCAGGAGACTTTATATTGTAAGGACACATGTGTACTTGGAAAAATAAATCCAAAGAGGCAATTATTAGACATATCCTAGTCAAGCTAAGGAAAGTGACGTCAAAAGATCATCTCTGAAATAATCTCTAATCTCTTTATTTGCTTAAGGTATTCTGTATTTATACCTACTACCAATTAGTGTAATTTATATTAGTACCCTTTTGCTCTTAAAAGTGATCAAATCTGAAATATAATTAACCTAATATATAAAGTCAAGAAAATTATATATATTGCAAACTTTTTTCTACTCAGCTTTATTGAGGTATAATTGACAAATAAAGTGAATGTGTTTAAGATATAATATGTGATGCTTTGATATATGTAGTACATATCAATTGTGAAATAATTACCACAGTCCCGTTAGTTAACACAGTGATTACATCACAGTTAAAAAGTTATCTATTTTGTACGTGTAGCGAGAACATTTATGATCTACTTTCTTAGCAGATTTTTTTTT